CCTATTTTTTCCTTCATCTGGCAATTGAGTTTTACAATACATACATACCTTACAAGATTTATGTTTTTCTTTTTGTTCATCATCTAACTTACCTTGAATCATTGGTTTTTTTCCGTGACATTTCCTATGCGAAGCACCTAAATATTTTTTAGTTTCAGGTTCGAATACACGAATTTTATTATATTTAGCTACATGTAATTTACCTTCACAGTTCCAACACTTATTTGCCCTTTGATATTTTCGCCATAATTCAGGAGTCATTTTTTCACATGGAACTGGATCACAGAGCTTATCTAAAATAACATCTAGATCTTCTTGAAGATTATACATTAAGTCCTTTATTACGTTTTCTGATTCACGATTAATTACTGGTTTTTGTATTGTTCCATCTGAACAATGTATCGTATATCCATATGAAACTGCTATTTGCTCTGCTACTTTTATAGTTTTCCTCCCTTCGTTATCTTTTTTCTCCACTTCGATTTCTTCTGCTTCTAAATCCATATCGATTATATAGGGTTTCATTAGCATGTTTTTGATATACTTTGATTTTACATAATTCTTATCCTCTTCAGGAAGGATTAAACGTTGTGGTGCTTTACTTGGGCCTGGACATGTTGGAATATGCTTTTCTAATAAATCTAGTCGACTATAAGGAAATCGTAAGCATTTTTGGCAGAAGTATTTTTTATCATGATGATTGTTCCATTTACGCATCAATCGTGTAAAATCTGTTATAAGGACATAATGTGTTTTAAGTCCTTCTGGTATATCGTTAGGATTTTTTCGATCATTTAAACTCTCCTCACCTTCTGTTAAATATAATAAATCTATCATATGCTCGACCTGGTAATTTCGTTCTGAAATATGTAATGGGTCTATATCTACTATTATTTTTCCGAAAGCTTCTTTATAAACTGGCCTAAATATATTAATAGCATAGTTAGGGTTAATTTCCTCGAATTTATCTATATCGTATAATGTTGCTGGAAATTTTATGCTATTATAATTTGCTATATTAGCATTTCGTCTAAGTCTCCGGATTTCATTAAGATGCAGTGGCTTTTTATTAGCTTTTTTTACTTCCTCTCTTGTGTGATATGCACTTATACACCATTTAAAACACTCATTATCGTCCCTATTTTGTGGATTAATTAATCCTAGTTGAGGTTTATCTAAAGCTTCTAATAAAGGTAGATAACTACTACCTCGCAATGGTCTAAAAGCGCTTATTTCAAGAAATACCTCTTCTGCTCGGACGAATGACCATCCGGATTCTTGTAACGCCTCATCTTCTATTTCATCTATAATTTCATTATATCCTTTTTCTATACTTGCATTAATTCGATCTTCTCTTATAATTTCTATTGTATTATGTTTGAATGGAATTGACTTAAATAATGGCTCTTGAGATTCTGGCGTAATTTTCTTCATATATGCTATTAATACAATTCTCACCTTTAACCCTCCTTTTAAAGTTAATTCTTTTTTATATATATTAGCAATTTTTTCCTCAATAGATTCAAAGAAAGCTAACGGCTCACCTTCAGCATAGTATTCTTTTGGTACAAATGCATAATAATCACATACTTCACCTTCATTAAATTTTTTAGCTTCCGATATTCTATTAATGTATGGATCATTAATTTTTTCAAAATGAATATCTGGTTCTTCTTCAGCAGTATCATATTCTGAATCACTGGGTTCTCTATCTTTATCGTCATCATCCGACTCCATTAAATCGAACCATTCTTCATCTGTCTTTGGTATAGGTTCTGACCTAATCTTTTTATTATTTTTAATTCCTGGTTTTGATAACCATTTCATTAATTCATCTATCGTTAATATTGATTTCTTTTTTTGTTCTCCTTGAATAATAGAACTTGGCCCTACTTTTATATCGTCAGTTAAAAGGTCGACTGCCGGCACATTTTCTTCTCTCAGCTGGAGTGTTGGTGGGTTTTCATCGAACGAAATGAGATTGCCCTCTGGAGCTGGTGCTGGATTTTGCGTTGGAGTAATATTTTGCACTAGAACAGGGGCTGTAGCTGGATTTCCTATTGGAGCTTGAGTAAAATTCTTAGGTCGGCAAGAATTTTTCCGATTTAAATGTTGTTGATATTTCTGATATGTGGAAAGATTTAGACCACATCTATCACAAGTAGTATTTT